AGGTACACAGGTCACTCATTGAAAATCTTGCCTTCAGTCTGTTAAAATTTGGTGCAGTAATGATAACACCAAAGCAGGAGATTTGTGACATTGGTGGAGAATGACTCAACTTATCCAATGCAACTTGTACTGTAAGCCAATCATAAAAAGACCAGGATGTTTCACAACAATCAGTTACCATTGACAGAGACCTAGAAGTGCCGTAAATGATTCCTACCCATCACAACAATTCCTACTGACTACACATAAATATGTCATAGGCAAACAGCAGGATTAGCTTCAAGATAAACCCACACAAAGCAGTTTATTCAGTGTTGAATGTTCAGAAGTTTGAACAGGATTTGACTCAAGAATGGTAGGCAAGATAATCAGTGAATAAGTTTTGATTTGTTTCTCACAAAAAAAAAAGTTTATATGAGAAGTATACATGACACCATAATAGTTTGGCATTGTCTGCAGACATTTATATAGTCAAACGTACAGGCAGGTTAGGGCGCAGGTGTGCGCTTGAATGACACTCATAAATAGGGATCTCTAACATTCATAAAACTGTATATTTACTCAGTATATGACTAGAAGCTAACAATTAAGGTGATAGTAACACTTTAAAATTATTTAATGCTACTTTGTAAAATGCTTATGTGCATTTAAATGAACTAATTTGTTATCATGAACTTACAGTCTTAAATTGTTGTAACACTGCAACATTCTGGGTTAATGTTAATTTATGAGTTTTTTTTCTTTTTTACTTCAGGAGTTGGTTAAAATATATTTCTTATTGATTTCAGTTAATTTACAGATAAATCGTTTGGATATTACAGTATGAATAGAGTTGGATTAAAAAATGCTTCGAACTTACCTTTGTTTTCCAAGGCATATCCCACCACACACAGACCCTTCTAAAGAGGGAGATATTTCATGTCAGGTAAGTGTTCTCAGATAGCATAATAAATAATTTTGCCATGTGGGTTAAGACATTATGCATAATTAACTCTGATAATTAGCACTTTATGTAATTTCAAACTTTATGCACTGCTCTTTATTTCTACAATATGTGATGCTAAATGCACAAAAGATAAAATACATTCCAACAGTAATCCAACACAATGCTACTATAAATGTTTATCACATTCAAAGTTTGACATAATTTGAAAAAAAAAATTATATGAGCCAGTTACATTTACATCTATTAATTTGGCAGATGCTTTTATCCAAAGTGACTTACAGTTGAGGAAAACAACAAATGATTCATCATAAGATGGCAATGCCCGTTATACAAGTTTTCAGTCATTGTTCAAAACAATAAAAGCTAGCACAGAAAATATTAAGGCAAAATAAGAGCATAGAAAAAGTGAAAGAAATAGATTTTTTTCTCTGTTTGATGATCACGGAAGAGATTTTGTTTCTTTAAACTTGTGAAGGATTCAGCTGTCAGGATGAAGTTAGGTGTAGACTACTAAGAGCGAGCAGAGGTAGGAAGGTGCAGAGCTCGTGGGTGTTCTGTAGGCAAGCACCAATGTTTTGAACTTGATGAGATCCACAACTGGAAGCCAGTGCAGAGAGATGAGAAGAGATGACACGCACTTTTTTTCAAGAGGGTCTGGTTGCACACTTGCACTCTCAGACTTGCATTCTCAGACTTGCACTCTCAGACACATGCGCTTCCGCTAGTGACATCACTTGCAGTCTTTTTTGTTGTTGTTATATTTACTTTTGTTTGAATCTCTCAACATTTTACAACAGTAGCCAGGCGGTGAAGAGAAGAAAAAATAAACAAAATTACAAAGTCACTTGCAATCGCCACTTGCACTCTCCGCTGTACATGCGACGTCACTTGCAGTCGACACAAATCGTGCGTGTTGCCAATGGAGACGAGACACTCTGGTGGTGCTTAAAACCAATTTAGTACCGTAACGTATAGGGTCCTGCAAGTCATCTGTAGAAGAAAAAGACAAGACTTGCAAATCCGTGGCCAAAGAACAGCAGAATATGAACGCAATGCGTCTCTCGTTAAGCGTTTTCCACCCATAGAAAAACATAAACACTTAATATGGCTTAATGTATTAAGATGCTGTTAAAATATCAAATGCAATATACAGTTTATTAATATAATGAATATGTATAGCCTAGTATTTTCCTCCCATACCGCAAAACGTGGCATAATGTAGCATAAAGGAATAAGATGATAAAGACCAAACTCAATATGCTCCTCTTCATTATTAAAATATACATAACTAATATGTACAGGCAAGCAGGTGAGCCCAGAATAAATTCAACATGCAAAGTTTCACGTTAAGCATTTTCCCATATAGAATAAACTGTCTACAGCTCTTTTATATCATTGTCTTTGTCCATTAAGCTACATTACGTGTTTTATTTATAATGATTTTCTATGGGAGGAAAATGTTTAACGTTAATGCGTTGCATTCTGGGCTCGTCTGCTTGCCTGTACGGAGTAGATGCTTTTAATATCACTTAATGCGTTTCATAATGCACATTCATATTTGTTGGTCTGTATATACTTTGAGTCAACAACAAGACATATAGGCTACTGAATTGTCTTTATAATCTTAGTCCGTTATTATGCCACATCAAGCGTTTTGCTGTATGGGAGGACAAGTGAAAGTTTGCGCATTGTGTTCATGGCCATCTGCTTGCCTTGTAGTACACAAAATAATAACTATATATCAAATTTGATCTTTTAATTGCACTTAATGTAGGATTAAATCAAACGGATTTGCGGGTCTTGTCTTTTTCTTGCTGGACCCTGTACATTATTGTACTAAATTAGTTTTAATCGTTTAAGCACCACAGCGTCTTGTCTCCACTGGTAACACGCACGATTTGTGTCGATTGCAAGTGACGTCGTAGGTAGCGGAGAGTGCAAGTGGCGATTGCAAGTGACTTTGTAATTTAGTTTCTTTTTTCTTGTCTTCACCACCTGGCTACTGTTGTAAAATGTTGAGAGATTCAAACAAGAAGTAATCAATAAATAGAACAAAATAAAAAAATAAAAAAGAGTGCAAGTGATGTCACTAGCGGAAGCGCAAGTGTCTGAGAGTGCAAGTGCAAGTCTGCTGCCAGACCCTTTTTTCAGCTTGTTCAAGACTACTCTATTTGCTGCATTCTGGATTAGCTGTACAGGTTTGATAGAACTGACTGGAAGACCTGCTAAGAGAGCACTGCAATATTCAAGCCTGGACAGAACAAGAGCTTGAACAAGGGGTTGAGTAACATGTTCCGATATAAGGGCCTGATCGTCCTAATGTTGTACAAGGCAAATCTGCAAGGCCGGGCAGTTTTAGCAATGTGTTCTGTGAAATTTAGCTCATCAATCACAAAAGGTTTTATGGTTGATGCACCTAGCTGGATGGAGAAATTGTGATGAAATATTGGGTTGGCTGAAATCACAAGCAGTTCTGTCTGGGCAAGGTTAAGTTGAAGGTGATGATTCTTCATCCGACAAGAAATGTCTGTTAGACATGCTGAGATTTGAGCAGCTATCATTAGCATTGGATCTTCAAGATGGATTGAGAGGTAGAGTTGAGTGTCATCAGCATAGCAGTGATATGAAAAGCCATGTTTCTGAATGACAGAACCTAGTGATGCCATGTAGACAGAGAAGAGAAGTGGTCCAAGAACTGAGCCCTGAAGCACCCCAGTAGTTAGATGTTGTGACACGGACAACTCACCAAGATACCTTGAAGGACCTACTGTATCTGAGAGGTAAGACTCGAACCACTGGAGTGCGATTCCTGAGATGCCCTTTGCCATAAGGTTTGACAGGAGGATCTGGTGGTTCACCATGTCAAAAGCAGCAGACAGATTCAGCAAGATAAGTATTGAAGATTTGGAAGCTGATCTTGCCAGTCTTAGGGTTTCAACAACTGAGAGCAGGGCAGTTGAATACCTACTTCTGAAGCCTGACTGCTTGCTGTCCAGAAAGTTGTTCTGTGTGAGAAAGGGTTCTGTGTAAGAGTGGGCTTCTCAAGTAGCGGGGTTATCCGAGTCTGTTTAAATGCTGAGGGAAAGACATCAGTGTGAAAGGATGTGTTAATGATGTGAGTGAGTGTGTTACACCCTGATAAAGGGGGAAAATAGACATTAATAAATGAAGACACGGACTCGTGCTGTTGTCTCTGCGTCAGTCTGTATTGGCTGTGCCAACACAGCACAGCTCGCATCACCCTCAACCTGCAACCTTCGATCTCCAAAATTACACTCCAAAAATTACACTTAAATCATACCACATTGTGATGATGCCCTGTCAGGCCGGAGCGATGATTCAAAAACATGAAAACCCATTATAAATGAGGCATTCGTTGCATCCAATGGGGACATAATTATGAATTATAATGACTTATACTGTATTTTTACGCGTTGGCTGACTCTTAACTTTTATAAAGAATATCTCTTTGGATTTGAGACTTTAATCTTTGCAACTTTACAGATCTTCTATATGCACCAAGAGCTTGTAACACTCCAAAGAGAAAGGAAAAATTTAAATTGCATTATATGACCCCCTTTAACTCTTTTTTTTTCTTTTTTATTACAGTTGAATCACATTGATTCAGTCATTTATATGATCATTTTGATCTTTCTTTTGAAAAAAGAAAAGAAAAAATGTTTATGTAAAAGAACAGTATACTGATCATAAAAAAATGATTCATTAACAAGAAGAAACTCCCAAGTCATTTTTTTTCTTTCATCTCTTGACTGGCATTTTACCAACTTACCAAAACATTTTGGTGGATCTGGTTTAAAGGTTCCATCCTCAGAACAATGAAGTGTTGATTGTCCAATAAGATCAAGTCCTTTGTTGCATTTATAGGAGACTGCTTGTGAATAATCATAACTCTCAAATTTCACAGCTAAAGAGAAAAACATATCTAGGTGAATAGGTATTTATTTCCAGAACACAAAAAAAATATTTTAATACAAATTGGTAATGGCTTTGTGCTCTTCAATATCACATTTCATTCAAATGTAAGAACTAACATACGTTTACAGACAGGATCTTTGCCATCCCATCCCAGATCTTGGCATGTTCTTGTTTCCTGATTAGCTAACATGTATCTGAAAGCAATGATTCTCCTCTTACCAAATAATCAAACACAGCTCACAACCTAAATTCCACATGGTTTAATTAAAACACTCTTAATCCACCCCAAAGAAAGTGACTTTCACTTACCCTTTGTCACAAACTGGTTTAGCTGTGTCACCAAATAAATTTCCAGTCATTTCATATCTTCCATAAAGAAAATCCGCAAGATATTGACTGGTTTAGAATTGGTGCTCTTTAAACACTGTAGAAAATAATGAAAAATAATCTTTAGTGTTGCTTCTTTACATGATACAGGGATATATTTTAAGAGGAAATGTGTGATACTGTGATGCTTCCTGCTGTCAGTGGCAAAACCACTATGAGCTATTTAATGATTAAGCTATTTAATGACTTGTTGACCTATAACATACATCCTTTCACATATCTAAATTAGACAAAAGGCATTTTAGAGAAATTTACAAATGTAGGGTACTTAACATATTTAACGATAGTACATACTTGCGCAATTGAGTTCCAGATTTGTCCACTGGTTTCCCTGACAGGTAACTGATTTAGATGCTTTTAAGTCAACTGGCTTGTGTCCAATCACACACTCAAATGTTACAGTGGATCCATCTGGGAAACTAGGAGTCGAGAGATGGTGTGCTGTTAAAATGACATTTCTTGATGCAAAAGAAGACTGTATGACCAGGGTGGATTTAGTGATTTAGGGGCCCCAGGCAAAATATAGGAATGGGGCCCTATACATTTGCACACATTAACCTGGATTAACCATGAGGTTCTTTTCTCTGTTGTGATGCTTACTGCTGCACAACAGTACCCCATAGTTGTGTCCAGTGTTTCTACATTTACGCCATGTACGTCAAAATGTTTACCCCACCCAGTGCGGTTACAGTATTAACGTTTAAACAAGTTATAACAGTATTACAACTAAACTTTAAAATACATTTATTTTACCTAACTACAAATTTAAATGAAACTGAAAAAAAAATTATGAAAAGGAAATTATACATTTACACACCTAGGATTATATCAACCAAAAATGAAGAACATATGTGCATAGGCCTATGTGTGTGTGTGTGGAAAGTAGCTATGCGTCCTCTACTTGGGTTCTTCTCATAAACAAGTAAGCAAGTGGCATTTAAAACAATAAACATACAATACACATTGTTGCTCAATATTTAATTACAGCTTCAGATGCATTATATTTCATTTGCTACAAGGATACACTTGCAGGACGCGGACACGCAGACAGTTGTCGCGATAATGAACACCACAATGTTGGTGTGTCCGTGCTTAATACGCATCTCCTCTATGAAAAGCATTTAGGGGGCCCTTGGCTTTTGGGGGATCAAGGTGGTCACCTACCTTTGCCTAATGGGTAAGTCCACCTCTGGCTGTGTGCATTGGGCTGAGGAGAAGAACAAATCACACTGGTATTCTAATAACCCAGTCATTGGTCAACTTTTTGCCATTCAGATCAATTACAAAAAGTACACAATTTGTTATACATGCTGCGTTTGCCTTAGTCCTTTGTCTGTTGTTAAAAACCTGACTTTTTGTGGAGTCTTTTGCTGCATGCCAAGTGTTTAACGCAAATCCTATCGGGTTTTAAACATTTTCTCACAAAATTGGTCATAAAATTTTTTAGAGTAAGGGTAAATAATACTAGTTATTTACCCTTTTTTGTTCCTTCAAATTACAGACTGACAATTTGAGATGGTTTTTCATGGTATAATAGACTGGTGCCATATTATAAATGCTATTCATTGTAGCTATCTGAATGACTAATAAGTATCAAACTCACCTCTGATACTTCCAGCTTTCAGAAGACACAGGAAGAGGGCAGGAGCACAGAGATTCAGCAACATAAATGCCATAGTCTCTGAATATTGGTGAACTAGCCCAATATAATTTCAGAATAATTTGTTTTCTGGAATTAAAAAAACAGCAGTGGAACAGCAAATTATAAGGGATATTCTTGCATTCAGGATGAGTCACATGTTGTTGACGCCCACAAGTTCATGCAGAATAAAACGGATTAGAACAACACTGAAGCCATTTCATTTAAATGAACATGAGTTTGGTCATATTTCTCTCTTCTTTAAACCTTTAAAAGAAACTACAAACTTTAAAAGGGCACATAATAGGCTTATCTCTTCAAAGTGTTCTTTTTGAATTAAAGGTAAATCTTTTTAATTAAATACCCAACAAGAAAGGAATACCACATTTTTTAAATTTGTTTTTATGCAGTAAATATTTCATATTTAAGAGCAACTTCCTTGATTCTTTATGCAGAGGTGTTTTTAGCAGAAATACACGATCTCTAAAACTTAATGCTAAGATTAACAGTGTTTAAAAAAGCAGATTAAAAGTTAAAAAACATGTAACTTTACTCACGCACACTGAAGCTGAGTCCTTAAGAATTTGTGTGTCCTCAACAATACTCAGGAAAAGATGAAGATTGGGGAAAACAGGATGGGTGTGCACAAGTATAAATCCTGGTAACCTGATCCAACAACTTGCAATAAAGCTTAAATATAGAAACATAGCTTGAACAGGGCTATTATTATTATTTTTTTTTGTAGTAGTAGTAACTTAATTATTTTATTTAATCAGTATTGCAGCTTGAAAAAAAATATTTGGCTATTATTATTTAAAAAATAATCAATGCTTTTTTGTTTTGCCGCTGTTGTCATTACTGTTAATAAGGTATAATGGTTCAGATCTGTTACATACACGTTACATATAATGGTACAGATATGTTAATCATGTTGATCATCATTGTGAAATTTGTGTCTTGACGTATGTGTATCTCATTGCAACTCTAGTGTTAAGAAGAAAATAGCGAATAGCCCATAACATTTCAAGGCCATATATTGAAAAATAAAGACGAAAGAACAACAGATTGTAGATCTTTGCAATGCTAAATGCTAAGAAATCTGTAGGTGCCTTTGACTGCCTATTACTCTTTAAATACTAAAAATGTACAATTAAAATAAGTAAATAATTTTAAAAAATGTAAAAACAAAAAATAAAAGATTTTATTTCCCTGTATGTCATGTGACACCAGAAAACCGTGAATGTTTGAAACTATTGATATATCAATTTAAATCTCAGCGGGTACTTCATGAATATTTTAGATCAAAGGGGTTCAGCTGACAAAGTTTGGGAATTCCTGCATTAAAAGAAAAAAAAAGTTTTTCAGAAATATACAGGTGCATCTCAATAAATTAGAATGTAGTGGAAAAGTTCATTTATTTCAGTAATTCAACTCAAATTGTGAAACTCGTGTATTAAATAAATTCAATGCACACAGACTGAAGTAGTTTAAGTCTTTGGTTCTTTTAATTGTGATGATTTTGGCTCACATTTAACAAAAACCCACCAATTCACTATCTCAACAAATTAGAATATGGTGACATGCCAATCAGCTAATCAACTCAAAACACCTGCAAAGGTTTCCTGAGCCTTCAAAATGGTCTCTCAGTTTGGTTCACTAGGCTACACAATCATGGGGAAGACTGCTGATCTAACAGTTGTCCAGAAGACAATCATTGGCACCCTTCACAAGGAGGGTAAACCACAAACATTAATTGCCAAAGAAGCTGGCTGTTCAAGTCTGTGATGATTTGGGGTGCAATGTCATCTGCTGGTGTTGGTCCATTGTGTTTTTTGAAAACCAACGTCACTGCACCCGTTTACCAAGACATTTTGGAGCACTTCATGCTTCCTTCACACTGCCAAAAGCACCAAAAGTTGGTTAAATGACCATGGTGTTGGTGTGCTTGACTGGCCAGCAAACTCACCAGACCTGAACCCCATAGAGAATCTATGGGGTATTGTCAAGAGGAAAATGAGAAACAAGAGACCAAAAAATGCAGATGAGCTGAAGGCCACTGTCAAAGAAACCTGGGCTTCCATACCACCTCAGCAGTGCCACAAACTGATCACATCCATGCCACGCCGAATTGAGGCAGTAATTAAAGCAAAATGAACCCCTACCCAGTATTGAGTACATGTACAGTAAATGAACATACTTTCCAGAAGGCCAACAATTCACTAAAAATGTTTTTTTTTATTGGTCTTATGAAGTATTCTAATTTGTTGAGATAGTGAATTGGTGGGTTTTTGTTAAATGTGAGCCAAAATCATCACAATTAAAAGAAACAAAGACTTAAACTACTTCAGTCTGTGTGGATTGAATTTATTTAATACATGAGTTTCACAATTTGAGTTGAATTACTGAAATAAATGAACTTTTCTACAACATTCTAATTTATTGAGATGCACCTGTAGTTAATTGTGTTTGGTTGCCTTTTTTATTTTTTTTTACAATAAAACTTTTAAGAGAAAAATCAGTCTTTACTGATTTAATTTACAGTCTTTTATTTCCTTGATCACTTTCCATGCAACAAGGTCACAAAACATCTTCAACAATAGCTCCTTGTGTGCGATATTTTCCTTTCAGGAAGGGCAGAAAAGATAACAGGGGTCGGGTCACTTTCAGTTTCACTCTTGCATGGTTTCATTGTCATTGAATTGTGTCGATGGGCAAAAAAGGATACAAGTTGACTCCAGCAATGCTTGAAAATGTTAATTGCATTAATGTTGATATCCGCTTGTAATGTGAGTAATGAGTTAACTTATTTATTTGTTACATTTTTTTGTTTGTTACATACAGAAAAAAAACACACCTAAAGCTAAAATGTCTACAAAACAAAATTTGAATGAATCATGCAGTTTGAAGCTGAATTAATTGTACACTTTGTGGATAAGAACAAGGAATATCAAGGAATATAAGTCAATGTGAATTAAAAAGAATGCAAAATGTGTACATGCACACCATAAATAAAGAAAACTTGTAATGAAGCTGCAACCATGTTTCACAATCAGATGTCTTTGGGGTGTTTGCCTTGAGCCCTAAGCCTTCTTGATGTACATTTTGAGCATGTGTGCACTACACATAAGATGGTAATCATAACTGAGGAGAGAATCCAACGAAGACACTCATACCACAGTGGTAAACCAGTCCATGACCTACAGAACAAAACATACGTTTTCAGTCTGCGAACAATTGTATTGAACTACTGTGAGCTCCTATTCACAATTGCATCGAAAAGAGTATTATTAAAAATTTCTACTGTTAATACTTATGTTCTACAGAAGAAAGTCAGTCATACAGGTTTGGAATGAAATGATTTTGGGTGAACTAATCTTTAGAATTCTGTAAATAAATCATTAGAAATCATTCATTTTTATTATGTATGTTCTCAAGAAAGTTGTTGTTGCTGTCTTGTTTTGAATTGATTCATTTTAACATGCTGAACAATAGCTTTCTGTTCATGTCTGATCAACTTACATTGTTTTATTCTGACTCCATGTGAGATGAGAAACTGTTGCAGAGCTCAGGAATTTCTCTGTCGTTTGAATGGATGTTGAGAGTGATGTTGTGCTTCTTATACAGTCATGGCTAGAGAATGCTGGTCAAGAAAAAGAGGTTTGTCTTTAGATAACTTAGAACCATGTAAACATCACTATATATATTATTAATATATAAATTAAGTGCTACATATTGTCCACACATGTCAAGTAAAACTAATGTACACAGAAGTTTCAAAATTATTACACCATTACGGTGTACAAAACAACTGGCCTAGGCTAGCAACACAACAATCATTACAATATCACAGTACTATTAATACTGAAGTCCTCTGAGGTCATTCTCACTGCAATGCAATCCTTGATTAAATCAAATGATGTATCCTTCGCGACCTTTAATCACCCACAATCCGTTGTACACATTCCATTACATGAAAATAAACTGATGAAAAATGAGTCAATACTGAGCTTGTCTGAATTTATTATGAAATGTAAGACAAAAATAATTTTTTCAGACATGAAAGCATAAATGTTATCTTTTGTTTTGGTGTACATTTTATTTATTTATTTTATTTAGTCATTTATCAGACGCTTTTATCCAAAGCGATTTACAAATGAGGACAACAGAAGCAATCAATTGTAGTATTAAAGCAACTAAAAACAGATCCAAAACTAAAAGCTAAAACTTCATAAATACTACCTATACACATTTTAAAAATAAAGAGATTAAATAAAAATGACAAATGCATACAACAAAATTTCAAAACTTTGTGCCAGCCAGCGAACGCATATTTGAATTTAGCAGTTGGTGATGTTTTTCTTTTTTATATATAATTTACAGGACAAACTGCGCATTTCACCCAAAAGTGTTTGGTATGATATGATTCCAAATTTAGGGGGGCCAAGCTTGTAGACAGGGGGGCATTGGCCCCCTAAATTTGCCACCCCCTAAAACTGCCCCTGATGAGTACTAAACTAAGTTTTTTTTCACACAAAAGTTTATGTTGTTACAAAAACAGTTGGTTATGTCTGTGAAGTTGAACAGCTAGGAAAGAAATTGAATGTGTAGATAGATGTGTTAAGCAACAGCAGCGTAATATAGCCTACAGTAACATTACCTATTGGCCTACTGCTATTTACGCTGTTAAAAAGATAGTTCACCCAAAAATTAAAATTTTGTCATTAATTACTCACCCTCATGTCGTTCCAAATCCATAAGACCTTCATTCATCAAATTAAGTTATTTTTGATGAATTCCGAGAGCTCTCTGACCCTATAGGCAACAAGGATTCTAACACGATCAATGTCCAGAAATGTAGTAAGGACATACTTAAAATAATCCACGTGATATCAGGGGTTCAACCGTAATTTTTCAAAGCTACTTTTTATGCACAAAGAAACCTCACACTGGCGCCATTTTGGAGAGTATCCACTGAATGTAAAAAACGTGTCCTTGTTACGTTTTTGGACATTGATCGTGGTAGGATCCTTGCTGTTTATGGGAGCGTCAGAGAGCTCTTGAAATTCATCAAAAATATCTTAATTTGTGTTCTGAAGATGAACAAAAGTTTTATGGGTTTGGAACGGCATGAGGGTGAGTAATTAATGACTATCCCTTCAATATGACAATAAAATAAAAGCAGAAAATCACTCACTGCTCATCCATAATAATGTCTATAACTATAATAATAAGACATTTCTTACTTGAATGCTGATTTTAAATGCTCTAGCACAAAGAAGGGCAGGGTCTCTGCTAATACGGCAGTGTCCATCAACAGTCGTGGGCCATGCTTGTAAAATGTGATGTCACCTTTTACGAACTCTGTGATCGGCTTGCTCTGAGACACTGCTTTTGATTTATGGGGATTAAAAAAAAAAGGAGCGGGACGATTTTTATCATTATAGGGTGGTTGTGTACACACACAGCCAACACACATTTATGTTCAAACAACATGTAAAAGGGAATTTTGTATAATAGGTGCCCTTTAATGGAGGACTCTAGCCTACACGCCTCTGAAAGACTGAACTAGGAAGGACTTGGTATGCAGCCTTCCATTTGAAAAGCACCCTCTAAACCAGGGGTGGGCAAACTTGGCCCTTCAAGGCCACTTTCCTTCAGAGGTTAGCTCCAACCCTAATCAAACACACCTGAACCAGCTAATCATTGTCTTCAAGGCTACAGGCAGGTGAGTTATATCAGGGTTGGATCAAATCTCTGCAGGAAAGTGGCCTGGAAGGGCCAAGTTTGCCCATCACTGCTGTAAACCATAGGTCTCAAACTCAATTCCTGGAGGGCCACAGCTCTGCGCAGTTTAGCTCCAACCCTAATCAAACACACCTGATCCAGCTAATCAAGGTCTGCAGGATTACTAGAAATGTTCTAAGCAGGTGTGATTTGGAGTTGGTTGGAGCTAAACACTGCAGAGCTGTGGCCCTCCAGGAATTGAGTTTGACACCACCGCTCTAAACCCTTGTGGTTTTCCTCTGAGTCCACACCCTGAAAACGGAAGTCAAAACATTTTGATTGCCCCCTGGTGGCTGGCTGCAGTATGGGTCATAAAGCCTGCCCTCTCCATGTAAATGAATGGGACGAACTAAAAAAATTGTAATTACACTTCACAAATTTTTCCCAAACATGATTTCTGTCATTTTAGGTAGTTCTTATCACGCTGATGTATATCCAAGTGTACATTGTTTCAATTAAGTCGGCTTTTAGTTAGTTATTTTATGCTATAAAATGTGGTGGCATCACGATTGTGTGCTTGTGATCGAGTCAACCAGAATTTGGGCAGGACACTGATATCACAGCACCTCACATTCACTACTGCACAGACTCTTGCCCCAAATGACATCATCAGTGTAAGATGACAGCAGCCGTTTCTGTAACATAATGGCTTCATTTTTCTACAGTGAAAGGAAGAGGAGTGCATCTTTTTTACAGTCTATGGGTTTTTAATACAGCTTTGCCATAGACAAATACAGTGAGTATTCTAAAATAAGAGCCAGTTTATACGAAGAACGGTAACTATTAGGGATGCACCGGTTGACCGGCCATAAATCGGAAAAGGCCGGTTTTTGCTTATAATGCGCGATCGGCAACCGGCCGGATTTTTGTATTTTGTTCGTCCGATTTTTCCGGAAGTGTGCACCGAGGCGCCAGCAGAAAAAATACCACGCAGAGCAAGCTCACTGTTGGCGATGCACGATGGAAATGCAGAGCTACCTGTCTGAGGCACAGATACCAAGAAGCAAACAGCCGTTGGTGTACTGGCGCACAAATAAGAGCCGCTTTCCTGCACTCGCTGAAGTTGCGCGAGTGTAACGTTACCTGTCCGCGCCCTGCACAACGTTTGTTCAGCTCAGCTTCTCTCGTGTTGGATGAGAAACGAAACAGACTAACTTGTGACAAAGCTGAAATGCTTCTTTTTGTAAAGAAGAACTCGCATGCACTTTTGAAAAGCCAGAAGTAAACGTCAGTTCTGTAGGCTATAAGATTAATATTGTTTATTTTACCTTAAAATTACATTGACTTAATGTGATTTAAAAAGCACCTGCCGTAGTTAACATTCTGGAATAATTTATTTATATAGCCTACTTTGGTTTTATTTAGTTTCACTGGTAAAGATCTTTTTTTCTTTACACCAAATTTAGAAACGAAAACAAATGCTGAATGCTGATTAAGTAACATCTTTGTTTGGAGTGTTGAATGTGTTTGGATTGTGGAACTATGCAGTTGTTGCCTTTAAAATTACATGGTTACAGTTAATGTTTTCATTTAAGGCCAGTTTATAGTTTCAACCCAATTTAAAAACAAAAGCTAAATGCTTTTGTCAGTAGGCCTACCTATGTTTGTATTGAATGTAGCCTACTTACTGCGCAGTTACTGCTGTTAATTTCAGATAGTTACAGTTGTTGTTTTCAATAGCCAAAACCCAGTTTAGCCTGTTAAATACCAAATAAACATCTTGTTTGTGTGTACTTTTATTCTTTCTTGTTTGTTGCGTGATAAAAATAAAAATCGGAAATCGGTATCGGCCAGTTTGCTTGTAAAAAAATCGGTATCGGAATCGGCTATGAAAAATCATGATCGTGCATCACTAGTAACTATTAAGATAACTATAACGATAACTATATCAGTATCCAGACCAACGCAAAATGCTCTGTTTCAGAGACGCCCAAACCAGGGCCAAAGCTGGCCCATGATGACCTCCAAATCGGCCTGCCATGTCATATCATGCTGTAAAAATGGGGGGAAAAATCTTACATTTCTTAAATTGTATATATATTTTTCAACACTTTTTGTTCTATTTTTTTGTTCTATGTTCAAACTCTTTAAAGTCAAGTGAATTCTGATTGGCTGTCAATATTTTTTATCATTGTCAGCTAGGAAAAATCGGTGTGAAAGTCATTCCAACCTTATTGTTTAACTCTTCACCTTTTCTTTATAGCTGCAGCATGGACTGCTATTCTTTGACATTTAGCTTGGTCCATGGTACAATGCAAGCCTCGGGGACTCAGATCAGAGTGACCAACTGAGGGAAGAAGCCATTAAAGGCCTTCACAGTATAAATAATACCTTGCTTACTGGTAAGCTGAAACTGTGGTGCCTGCAATTCGGATTGCTCCCTCGTCTAATGTGACCTCTAAAGGTTTACGAGGTCCGGCAAAATCCACTCTTAGGCATGGAGACATTGTAGGACAGGTGCAGCAGGGAAGAGGGGGTTTTGGAGTTCGGACAAGCCGACCCATTTGGTACAAAGCAACATCTGCCCAGAGGAGAAAACAGATAGTAGCCGAGGTCCGGCAGCAAGAGGCGGCAGAGAGATGCACAAAGGCTGTCTCGCAGTCCAAACAGGGACAGTGGACTAACTGGGAAAATCTGGAGCAATGTAAACTCACCTGGAAGGATCTTTGGGAGATGGAAAGAAGCAGACTGAGCTTCATCATTAAAGCCACCTACGATGTTCTCCCCACACCCAAGAACCTAAACCAATGGAGTGGAGAAGATCCATCTTGTCCTCTCTGTCAAACCCCAGCAACACTAAGGCATATCCTCGTCAGCTGCAAAACCAGTCTTTCCCAAGGACGTTACACCTGGAGGCACAATCAGGTTCTGAGACAACTGGCGATTATCCTGGAGGGAAGTAGAACCACCCCTCCCCTCATGCACTCCCTCCTCCAATGCCTGGATTCTCAAAAGCCACTGCCTTCGTAAGAGCAGGACAGCTTCCAGTAAAGCCAACTACAAAAAAGAAAACAACCCTGCTGGACACTGCCCGGGACTGGAAAATGCAGGTTGATCTGGACCAGAAGCTCAGCTTTCTACCTGAGATAATTACAACTAACCTCAGGCCAGATCTAATACTGTGGTATACCTCACAAAAGTCCTTGTTCATCGTTGAACTAACTGTGCATATGGGAGGCTACAATTGGTGAAGCAAATGAACGTAAAAGGCTGAAGTATTCAGACCTATCAGCCGAAGCAGTACAACGGGGCTGGCGAACTCAGTTGCTCCCCATAGAGGTTGGGTGCAGAGGTTTTATAGCCACGGCAACAAACAGGCTACTGAAGGGGATGGGAGTCAGAAGACATGTTGAGCAAAGCAGCAACTGGCTGTGGCTAAAAAGGAAGCATCCTAAATGGACTGCAAAATGACCTAGAGGGGTAAAAGAAGAGGGGAGTGCATCGTGGGCCTATCAACTAAGCACCAACGAAGGGAGGGTGCCCACCTGATGACCCCAATGAAGTGATTACCCCTACTTCCCACTCAAGATGTTAACAAAGTGCTGATTATTCTAAGGGATTGTACTATTAAGTCCGACATGCTCAACTTTGACATTTAGAATGATTTACCACTGCATTACACGACTGACTAGTCAGAATCAATAATTCCAGAATGCAATGTAAAAAAATACTTAATCAATGTACAGGTTAAACTCACTGTTTGATGAGATGAGATAGACACTGTCCTTGTCTGCAGACTGAAGTAGTTGCAGAGAAACAAATTCGCTACTCTGGCTGCTGACATCATTAAAGGCCGAGCAGAAAAGCTGACTGTCTTCAGTGATGTTTGAACAATGGAGATAGAGATCAGTGGATTGGTGCAGGACAGTGTTGTTTGGGTGTCCAACTCTGTACCAAGTGTACTGCACATCCGTTCCTCTCTCACTCCAACATCGAAACACAGATGGTTGACCCCAACATGTCATCTCTGGGGAACTGAGAGGCCAAACGTTTGGTTTTATTACAGCCTCTGAAATGAAATGTATATTTCTTACTGTAAAAGTCAATTTTCAAGACTAAAATTACAGGTGCACTGGCCAAATTATCTTTTAGATTGGCGTAATCACACTGCACATGATGAAAATAAAGTCTTACCTTTTGTTACTGTGACTTGTATCCTTGTCATTATATCAGCATAGATTTTGTCAATCGCAACCCAGTATATTCCACTGTCATCCAACTTTAAATCTCTTATATAAACAATCAAGCCTCTAGAAACTCTATCAATGATTTGAGCCCGTGTTCTGTACGCAGCATGTGTGAATCCATCTGTGTCCATCAGAACTTCACATGAGGATCTGGAGTCTCCAGCACACCAGTACTTCTTGTTAAATCGGTACTGGGTTGTTTTGTAGGTGCAGGTAATAGTCAATGTGCTTCCAATTGTGGCTTGAATCTTTGTTTTATCACACTGAAACTGCACACTTACTACAGAAATAAAAGTTACATTTTTAAACACTGTATAAACAAAGTTGATTATCAAAATATATTGTTTTATTCAAGCACATTTAACGTCGGCATGAAATGAAAAGTCATCCTATTTATTTTCTAAATTTATATTATACTGTATATCTTACTGTGAGCAATTCATCTGTGCATTTGTTTCTCTCTTTTTTTCAATGTTTTGACCTAATATAATCAATGTCATAACTGGACCTTCCAGTGAAAATTACTTTTCTCTGGTGACGTATACAGGATTTCTCCAATCATTTAGTCCATTTAAAGCCACCCCTAGAAGCTTGCGTTCATTTGCCTCAACTTTTAAGTGCATCGCCCACATCTCAAAATTCAACCAATATTCGTCCCCACCCTACACTTTTTCTTTTTCGATAATCTGTTTCACTCAGATGTATGTCACAATACAGAAGAAATGATCTGTCATTACTTTCACGTTCATCACGTTTCACTGCGACTTTAAGACAATTTCCATTTGGCGAGGTTCATAACAGCTCTCATAACTACAGGGGGACTATGGTTATAACACTATTTGCTTTAACATTTGTAATTGCACTATTTATATCATACTTTGAAATTATTTTCCCACATTGATCTGTAAAACGGTGTACTCTTCAAACTAAATTTATTTTAGCATTTTAATTTAAAAAGAGGTTAGAATCATTCTAAAACTGCAAACCCATAACAGACTGTTTGTGCAAGTTTTTCAGGTCATTCTGTTCAATCTATGTGTCCATAAGAATAAAATGTGTAAAGTTGTGTTACAACCACTAAGAACAGTGGTTACAACTGTCACCGTCTGCTCAAATATGACATTTGAAGACTTTTAACATTTTTAGTTACATTTTGAGCAAATGCTACATATAAAATTAAACAAAAAATAAGATTCACAAGATAACTTTTTGTAGGTGACTCCGGTCATGCCAGTTCAGGTCATTAAAAATGCATTAACATGATAGCAAATCTTTTTTTTTTTTTTTTCCTGCCTAAAAGTAGTCCAGTAAATTGTTTGGTGGTCATGTATAATAGTGATGTCATCCTAAGTGTAAAATATGGTGGTGTTACAACTCAAACCATGCCAACACCGGTCTCCTTACAAATAAAACTATACTCTATTTAAAACAAATACAAGCAGATAAACACAAAAGCACACGTGAATTGATCGGTAGAAAGAGACTTACTCTGTGCTAAAAGCAGTATATACAGGCCCTTCATACTGTTGATGAGAATGTGAAAGCTGTTACGTGTTGAAGCACCTTGTTGCGAGCTATTTAGAGTGAAACAGGATGTAGGCAGTCATGGACGAACTGTGGTTTTCAAATGGCATTGTAGGGTCTTTCAATATGCTAACAAACTGTATGTATACATAAACACAAGCAATCTTTACTAAATTAAAAAAAAGTGAAAGAGCACTCTTCATGCAAAAACTTTAAAAGAATAAGAATTATAATACAGAGAATATAACCTTTTTTTTGGTGAGATTAGAAAGAGCAATTTGCAACACAGGAAAAGGTCAGAGAATGCAATTTTACTAAACAGCCACTAGATGAAACATGTACCTTCCCGATACCTTTTGATAAATAAGTGATTAGTAATATATATTTACGTGTGTGTGAAATGTAAGTAGAAAGACTAAAACGGTATTTTCTTGTCATTTTAAGGTCAAAGACTGCCATTTAACTAACCAGCCACTAGATGGAAGACTTACCTTCCAAGTACCTTTTCCAGTGTAAAAGCTTTTGATTAATAAATGATTAGTGATATAAATATTACATGTGTGTGTGTGTGTGTGTGTGAGAGAAATGTAAGTAGAAAGTAAAATTTATATACAGAGCTGGGTAGTAACTGATTACATGTAATCTAGATTACGTAATCAGATTCCAAAAATTAAGTACTTGTAATTAGATTTAATTAAATACTCTGAATCAGACTACAGTGAGGCTACTTTGTTATTGATTACATATTGTAATGAATTAGTCCACTGTAGGCGAGCGTAGTGAGAACCCATGTGCAGTTTTATTTACAAGTTATCTAAACATCCAAACAATAAACAAAGACTTGACTAGACTTGACGAGGCATGAACAGACTTGACTTGACTTGACGAGGCATAAACAGACTAGACTCACCGACAGCGGGTTACAACTTCAATCCACGACCAGGGCACAATGGGAACATGATGGCTAGTTATAGCAGACAAGGAGGGTCACATGACATGAACAAACCAATGGGAACAAGGCACATGACTAAAGCAACCAATTAGAACATAACACAGACAAGGGAATCACATGACTAGACAATAACCAATGAGAGCATGACACAGACACAAGGCAGAGAGACATGAGGCAAGGGAAGCATGACACTTTTCAACAACAACATGAAACAAAACCCAAACACCAAACCCCACATTACATATCTCCCCCTCTAAGGGCGGCTCCAGACACCCAAACAAACACAAACAAAACCCAACAAGTCCAGGATGGTGGTGGAGTGGAGGCCTAACTGGGGGAGGACGGAGGGCCAGGCCCATGAAGTGGAACAGGCAGAGCGGGGAGCCATGGCGGAGCAGGCAGAACGGGCAGCCATGGCGGTACAGGCAGATCAGGGAGCCATGGCGGTGCCCAAGCTCTGCGTCCGACTCAGGCGTGGCGGCCATCTTGGCCGGGGACTCAGGCGTGGCATGAGCAGACTCTGAAATGGTGGCCATGTCGTGACGAGACTCTGGAAGAACAGTTGAGACGTGATGAGACTCTAGAAGGGCGGCCATTTTGCGAAGAGACTCTTGTGTGGCGGCCATCTTGTGATTAAGCTCTTGAATGGCGGCCGTGTTGTGAAGAATCTCTTGATGTGCCAGCATGACGTGAGCAAGCTCTGGTTTGGCAGACGTGACGTGAAGAGAACTTGGCGTAGCAGACATGACTGGAGCAGACTCTGGCTTGGCAGACATGATGTGATCAGGCTTTGACTTGGTAGATATGACATGAGTAAACTTTCACTTAACTGGCATGATGTGAGCAGGTCCTGGAGTAGCGGGCATGATGTGAGCAGGTTTTGGCATAGCAGACATGACGTGTGCAGGCTGTGGCGTAGCAGGCGTGACGTGAGCAGGCTGTGGCTTGGCAGACATGATGTGAGCAGACCTTGGCTTGGCAGGCATGACGTGAACAGGTTCAGACTTGGTAGGCATGACGACTGAGGACTTTGGAGAGGTGCTGTGTTCCTCCTCCACGACACTCACAGTGAAGGCAGAGCCACTCATTCGCAGAGCAACGTCTATATATTGTTCAAGTGACCAGTGTGGGGTATTGCATGGCATTAACTGTGATATGTCATGAGATAGTCCAAAACGGAAAGTGTCAACAGAGCAACATCATTAAGGTTCACCTGATTACAAAGTTCACAAAAATCACTCACGTAATCCTCTGTAGGCCTGTCACCTTGACGAAGGCAGAGGAGGCGGGAAACTGCTGGGATCATGGTGGGGGTCGTGTATTCTGTAATAAATTAGTCCACTGAAGGCAAGCGTAGTGAGAACCCATGTGCAGTTTTATTTACAAGTTATCTAAACATCCAAACAATAAACAAAGACTTGACTAGACTTGACGAGGCATGAACAGACTTGACTTGACTTGACGAGGCATAAACAGACTAGACTCACCGACAGCGGGTTACAACTTCAATCCACGACCAGGGCACAATGGGAACATGATGGCTAGTTATAGCAGACAACGAGGGTCACATGACATGAACAAACCAATGGGAACAAGGCACATGACTAAAGCAACCAATGAGAACACAACACAGACAAGGGAATCACATGACTAAACAATAACCAATGAGAGCATGACACATACACAAGTCAGAGAGACATGAGGCAAGGGAAGCATGACACTAACTGCAGGAATCAAACTACAAAATAAAAGACACGAAAACAACAACATGAAACAAAACCCAAACACCAAACCCCGCATTACACATACACATATTATTCACACAATAACTCCCTATTTTTTCCTTATTTTAAATGTTCTTTTCTAAATTAACCACTAATACACATCTTCCAGTTTTGTGGGCATTCACACAAAGACCAGTCGCTAGTCATGTAGCTATCATTACACAGAAAATTGAGAGGCAAAGAAAAAAAAAGAGGGAGGAGCCAGGGAGGAGACAGGAGGGGCTTGGGGCAGGAGGAGCCCAGCTGGACCCAGGTCACAGCCATAATGTCGACCCATGGTGGAGCTGACAGAGGGAGGAGCCATGGCCGCCGACTCCAGGGGGCCGACCAACGGCGGCGGAGCAGGTGGCGGAGGAGCGCGAGGCGGAGACGGAGAGCCAACGAGCCAGGGGGATGCTGAGGGGGGCCAGGGTGGAGCCGAAGGACCGAGGTGGAGGCAGAGCGACTGAGGACCAAGGTGGAGCTGGCGGGAGGAAGGAGCCCAACGGAGCCGGTGGGACGGAGCGACAAGGTGCAGCCGGAGGAGCGGAGTCCTGAGGCGATGGCGGGTCGACACCCGACCAAGGCGGAGCCGGAGGGACGAGGGAGTCCGGTGGAGCTGGTGGATCGAGGGGTGACGGTGGAGGCGAGGGAGCTAAGAGCCAAGGTGGAGCCGCTGGGTCTACAGGCCGAGGCGGAGTCTAGGCCACGGAGGCTGGATGCGGAGGTGAGGGATTCTCCAGCCATGGCAACGCTGGAGGATGGCAGACCCGTGGAGCTCGCACCGTAATGATGGTGGGCTGAGGGTGAGCAGAGCGGCTGCCAGACGACAGCGGTGGAGGAGGCAGGAGCGGGTGGGAGGGCGGGCGGGCATTTGTGAGTCTCCGGGCATTCAGGGCTTAACTCTGGATCGGAAGCCCCCTCTAGGCTGAACACGGGAACAGGATGGCACTCAGGAAGAACGGACACTTGAGGGCGCTTACAAGGAGCTGGCACTGGAGGGCGCTCTGGACTTGATTCGGGGACTGGAGCCCTAACCTCTTTGGTTTGGCACTTTCGCTGCGACATACTCAGCTCACCCTCAGCTGCGGTTCAGGGGGCAGAGCTCCTCTCTGCGCTCACACCGTCCGCGCTTTCTCCCTCGTAGCGGGCATTGTCGCCGGCTCTCGCACCTGGTCTGATGAGTTGAGCTCTACGTCCGGGGCAATCCTCTGCTCAGTCGCTCAGCTTTGCGCTGGCTCGCTGATCGCGGCGGGGACTTGGTCTCCGTCCGGGG